CTCTCCGCCATCAGTCGTATCATTGGTAATCATCTACCTCATCATCATTATCGCTCGTCTTATCATTTCACACAACCAAACTCTTCCTCAGCATACTTTTACTATCAGTGACTGGATCTGCTACATTTAATGGGTTTTCTCCTAAATTTTCTACACTGTTTTTTGGCATATCTTTCTCTTCTAATTTTAATTTTTTTTTTGTCTTAAGATTTGTATGTTGTTTTTGTTGTTGTTGTAGAATTTTTTGTTGCTGTTTCTTTTTTATTGTTGGTCAAAAAGGAGCCATTTGTTGTAATATGATTTCAGACTAAATATCAGAAGAAAGTTTGAAATTCCTAAGATTTGAACAGAAACATGCTGCTTTCAATATCTAAAAATGAATAAGTGATAAAATGCCTTGGCATATCATTTAAATTGAGAAAATATCTTATTAAAAGTTATTAATAGGGTATTTATTATGTAAGCCGGAAAATGTGCTTTTTTGCTTTTTTTTTGGTTTTGTTCTTTTCTTTTATTGTTCAATAAAAATTGTATAATAATTTCATGAAAACATTAAATTATTTCTTTAATTGAATTTATTTAAAATATTGGATTATGACAAAAATGAAGTAAAAAAAGTTTTGTTTTTTTTTTCATCTTCGGGTTTATTTCTTTCTATATTATTACGTTCTTATCCTATTTTCATTAAATCTAAAAAGAAATATCAATAAAAAACCATAATTATATATATTGATATGTCTTATGTATATGTATTTTTTCTTTCTGCAAATTCGAATCATTTTGTAGGAGTTGGCACAGTGACTAGCTCGGATAATTTCTATACATCTATATTTGGAATATATTAGCGATTTAGGTTCCGAAATTTCACCCCTGTGTTATTATTCTGTCTAAATTCTACCAGAAACCTTGTATTACATCTTGCAAACAAAAACTAAAAACCACATGGCTGCTCATTTATGGCATATCTCCATAAAAGCCGAATCGAGTAAACCATTGCAATATTATTCATAATCTATATAATTCACCATCTTTTCCCCGAACTTGGCCATATATTTACTTGATCATGAACCGTTGTGATTATTGACAAAATAATCAAACCATTTCGGAATGTCCTATATTTACAAGAAAATCATGATCATTTACTGTGGAGGAGATGCCGCTAGACATGCGAACATTCTCCAATTCCCTAACCCGTCATTTACTACATTGATCCTTAAGCAGGAAGACATATATTGTACTCGGAACACATCTTGTTTCATGCCCAACTCCCCAAATAGCCTGATGGCTCTTCTTTAAACACATAAAACAGCAATAATGTACATTAACAGTTCTCCATGTGAAAAAACTAGAATATTTTCCTTAAGATTCTATGGAAAGGGATTGCTATATTTCCTATGTTTCCGCTGAAAATGCTTTCTTTAACACCTCACAATCTCCGAATAACAGTGTATATTACACTTAACTGTTGAATGCATTTCTTATCGTTTTGTATGAGAAAAGTGCTTTGTTCAGCTGAAAATGTTTTTTCTTGTATAATATTGTTTGATAATATTATATTTATCAATAAACAGTATAAAATCAGGCTAACCTTGAATAAAACAAAATTTCTAAGATTTTAAGTTATACATGTATATACCAAATGCAAAGACAAAGCTCTTCAGTGTAAGTCGTTATAGTCAGAAGTGTTTTATTGTAATTTTCAAGCTAACTGAGTAAGATGTTACTATGTCATGTTATACATTTCAGCCAAAACCTTGTGGATATATGTTACCATATGAGAACATAATAATACTACTTTCATTACTGTAATTGCAACATCAAAAGTTAGTCCACTCCTTATTTTTCCTCTAAAAATTAAGTCTATCACGATCATTAGTCTGGTGAAGGCCACAAGTAAGACTGATATCAATTAAAAGTTACTCTTACGCAACGTGACTGCCATCAGTCAAAGGACCTAACCTTTATTTATGGTTAGCCAAGTCTATTCAAGTTTTCATAATGTTAGTAAACTGATAGCGTCATAATTTATGTATTTTAAAAAAACTCGGGGGACAGTCCCGGTATATGGTGTCACCACGGTGAGTTATAGGGGGATCAGGTTGTCAATACAAAGTTCAATGATGATTATCGCAAAGTGTTATTATTATGCGTTACACCACCTACAGGTGTAAGAGGACAATACATACTTTCATGACAGGTATTATGATTAGATAGTAATTCCTGTATTTTGGTAATTTAGTGGAAAAGTTCCCTAGTTGACCATAACCCGAACATGATGTATGGTATTGACTAGTGCTATTATCTGCTCTTTTTTTTCATAATAATTTCATATTCAACTTAATTTTTGGAACAAGGTTGATTTAGTATTTGTTCCACCTTTTTTTATATTTCAAATAAATACCATAGCACTTAAAGGCTCATTAAGAACATAATGTAGTAGAGATAATTACTTATCCTGCCATGACCCAAACTAAATGCATAAAAAATATACCAGAGCATGTCCATGAACTGAAGCGCATTAAAATTAATTATAAATTAAACATAGTTTAATTTGCTGTACTTAAAAGTTAATTATCTGCTAAATTTCACTGCAAGTTCAAATCTTTTACAAAATCTTTACCCGCTATCGCAGTTTGATTTTCAACAGATTTGTTAATCCAATTTTCCATTAAGTGAGTTTCTGTTTTCATGTGTTATGTTTTATACAGAGCGTAATAGCGATGACATGCTAGGTAACAGGATGAGCACGGTTCACCGCCATAATGGGCTGCACTCTTTTACTCAATACCAGAAACGTCTCGTATCTTCAGGAAGCCATCTTGGCTCATTTGCATAGCTGGCTATTAACGCAACAATTTGTCTTCTGGTATCGTGAACGCCTATCTTACAAACCGCTCATTTGTAACAGTATCTTAAGCTTGAAAAAGCTCTTATCTTAAACAGGCTGATGTTTACAAAGCTTGCTTTGCCCATTTAAAGAAAAAGACTTATATGGGAAAGAGATCTGAAGTAATAAATAATCAGTCGGTAAAAATATTAGAATTTCTGATGATGATCATTGCCATCTTAAAACAAACTAGAGAAAATTACAAGCAGATAATAGACGTAGAAAGAAAAACCCATTTGGGAAAAACGGGCAGTTTGCGTCTTCCAAGGGATTTCTTTAAAGTCTCTGCTTTCAGGTTCCATAAAAGACTTGATTAATTAAGAACACATTAGTTGCAAGGACAACACTGTCATAATGTTTCTCCCTATCCTCTATGTGCTCATTTATGTAGATTTCTGTGTAAATTAGCTGTAAGTAATTCTAGCCAAGAAATGTCATCAGGAGCAAGGAGCCAGAATTGAAGTGTCAATGATATAGGTTTACTGTGTCCAGGGACTCACTTACATCTTTACTGAGAAATATTGAAAGGCTAATGTGCAATGAGTGGATAGTTTCTATCAGATTCTCTATAATGATAGACGCAGACTTACACAGGCCCTTGTGGCCTATTACACAACATGGCCATCTAGAAACTAGTTAAATCATATAGAAGTCAAACAGAGATGATTTCTGAGAAATTTTAAAGTTTTGTTGCTCTGTGTTGGATTGTAACTTTCTCAGTAAGAAAGAAGACTTGCTATAAAAAACAGGCTTGATTCCGAGTCCCTGTATTGCATAGTTCCACATCAGGGTTATCTTATGCATAGTATTATATCTCACTTTTTTAAAATTTTTGTCACAGGGTGAGAAAAATGTGCAGCCTGACTGGGACTTGAACCTGACCCTTGGAATACCGTATTGTGACTTAAACGACTGAGCTATACAGACACATTATAGACAGGAACATTTTAAACCGCAACACTTAAACAACCCTTAACCTGCTGAATTTATGTAATAGATTTGCCCAGCTTTTAATTTGGAATAGTCCATTCAAAGATTTAGGGATTTCGGTGAATAAATACCAAGAAGTGTGTTTATAAGCTAATAGCTTCCCACACAATCGAACTAAAATAAATTCTGTATAAACCAAATACCAAGAAGTGATCTATGAAATAACAATATAGAGCCTGGTCAGACTGCATTGAGTTTGTCAGACTGCATTGAATTTGTCATTGGATATTGTTACTGATTTTATCTTGTTTATTAAACATGCATTTTGTAAACAAATTGACATGCATATGGATCTATAATTAATTACAAGATGCATATGGGAGAATAAATCATTCATTTAACATTTATAACAAAGGTTGAAATGTTTTAGAATATCTGTGTTTTCCCCTGTACTCAAATGACCAACAAATATTTTCATTGGTTTGCGTTCTTTTAAAACTTTTCTCAAACTTAAATTTCATTATTTATTGCATAATAATTATCATAATTATTTTGATATATGAAAATGTATTTTCCAATACTCCTAGATGACAAAAAAATAAGATTGAAATAACAGTCTGTTACATTATGATTTATGTTATCTATATTACTCAATCATTACAAGTACATACAGAGTTTAACTTCATTTAATTTTGCGTTTTTCAAATGTATGAAAAACTTTAATAAAGATCCTAAATCAAAATATTATGATTTATGAAAACTGTTGAACTGTGTGTATCAGAAGTTACTCGGTGCATGCTACTAAATACTAGTTATTCAATGGGACGTTACAATTTTGGGTGACAATTAAATATCATATTTAGCAAAGATGACTCAATGTAGCTTATCTTGATGCTGATATGAATTTCTCTTATATACATGTACAATTGTAACTGGTTTAAGAACATTATTTTGTCAATACATGTATTAAGTTTAGAAAATAGAATATTATGTATTAATTAAAAGCCATTTTAAAAGACTACTGGTATCTAATTTCGTTAATTTTTTTTAATACTTGTGCTGAAAAAGAATTGCCTTTGTTGGTAAGTACATTGTTTCTATTAAGAATAAGTAAGAATTGGAAAGCTTTATGTTGGCCTACCTATGTCTATAGCCATTAGCAGACCAGTTTCTCATATTTCAGGCTTCTGAGTACAGTTTGCAACCTGAAGTACTATTGAGGAAGAAGTCCATCATGGGGGAACAATTTACAGCAAATAGTTCCAATTGCTAGCAAGCAATGAAAGAGAAAGGTAAAATTCTCAGCACTTGATATTAATAACAATAATGCAAGGCAAACAGTTTGATTTAATCTGTTAGCCATTACCTTTACTTGAGGCTTTTTTACTATATAGGTGGTTTTACGGATAAATATGATAAATGCTCTTTTCTCTGTGAATGTTAAAGCATTTCCCATAATCTGTAATATGATGGAAACTGAGGGAGTCGTGTATCCCGGTGAGTAGGCACTTAGAGCATATGATCTCTCACAAGTGGCACCAAGTATGAGCCCTGTTACTGTTATAACTGAAAAATCTGTATGTTGAGAATTTGGGGAAGTAATTTCGCCATATTTTATGATGATAATAAAATACTTAGTATTCAGAATATTATTTGCGATAGCAATATATAGTACATGTTTTACGATGTTAAAGAGTGTTTGTTATAAATGCTTATTAAAAACATCAGGCTTTCACAATTGTTAGTGGATTTCGGCATTAACAGCTGGTTTTACCCCTGACCTGAGCAAATCACTAAAGAGGATACAGTGTTATGGAGAAGAGATAGGATAAAAAGACAGGTATACAAAACATGTGAAAACACTTCTGACAGAATTAAGAAGATAATGATTCCTGGAGACTTAACTTCGCCATAGAATGCTGGTTATATATGTGCTATAGCTATAAACTTTCACTGCTTCACAAAAATAGGCCTTCTTCTATAAAGAGGTTAACAAAAAGTTTGTTTTAAAGCCTTTATGACTGGGTGTAAGATCTTTTGATGTGAAGTGGACACTAAGCTCTTTTACAGTCAGTTGTAAATGTAAGAAAATTTATCATTGTCTTCATGCTTATTGCAGTAAGAATGATAAGTGACATGCATGTGCATATACTTAAGTGGACAGTGAGTCGGAGTTATTATAAGAAATGCCATTTCAAATAAACAACAATTTTATTATCAAGGGAAATAATCTTTTTTCTCTTTTTTTTTATTTTGTTCCCTTTTTTGTTACTTTCAGGAAGCTGGCTTGTTACTGAGACGAAATGCATCAATTTTAAAAGGTGAGTTAACTTTCAGGCAATTTTTGTCCATATATGAATGTATACAAAATGAACAATCTCACCAAAAAGTGTTCAAATAATAAACAGGGTATTCAGCTAAAGAAAAACCAACAAAACTTATTAGCTCAACAGCATACCCCCTTGTATAGTTGGAAAAAAAAGCCACAGACAACCATAATAGTGATCACCCCCAATAACCTCGAAGCTCTTAAATCTTCACCAGTCCTCTACACAAATAACCCAGACCTTTTATATGAACAAATAACCACGCTAAAGAGACAATATGGGCCATTTTATGCCATTTATTAAGATTCTCGAGGCAGTAAACCTACTTGTCCATTCTGCCTTTATTTGGATGTTATATGAAAACAGGATTTCTGGCAATAAATTGATAATTTGTTGGGGAATGATACTGCTCTGCAAGGACCAACAGGAGATATTTTACCATAAAATATAAATACAGAAACTATTTGGGACGATTTGCTTAATCAAATGCTTTAGAATAGCTTTGTTCCCTCTTATTATCTAAGCTCTAAATTTAGTAATAATGAGTTGATTGTTTGCCTTAATTTTTTGCCATGAAATTTTATTTTTAGTATTTGGTATACATGGTAACCTTAAATCAGGACACTGGATATGTTACTTGTTGACTAGAGTCTATTCCCCCCAGTAAATTGTTACAAATTTCAGCATTGGTTTGAACCCGTATTATTATCACTTCAGACTGGTGTCTTTGTCTCCCAATTATTCTAACTGCTCTCCTAATCCCATCAATGGCTATTCAAATTAAGCCGTGTACACACACAGAATCTCAATTCCAGCTCCATATTGATCAACCCTATGCTCTAACACTAACAGTTATACAGGATCCAGCCAGAAATGTGGCAATTTTCAATCAAGAGAGATTTCAAGGGAAGATTGGGTCAAATCATGGACAAAAGCTATGGTTGTTTTGCAGTATTAATCCCTTTTACTTGGTAATGATGGACAAAAGTGGTTTGGACTGTGGTATTAATGTTAATGATGATTATTTTGATAATGGTAATGTTAATTGATTATAGCCATGGTGCTGATGGTTGTGCTGCTGTAGCTGCTAATGATAATGATGATGAAGATGATGATGATAATGATGATGATGATAATGATGATGAAGATGATGATGTTATCATGATGTTAATATTGATGAAGTTTTCGTGGTAAATGATTATAGTTTTACTGCTGTTGTTGTTGGTTGCTGTTGTTGTTGCTGCTGCTGCTGCTGCTGCTGCTGCTGCTGCTGGCTGGTGATAATGGTGATGACAATAATGATGATACTGATGATGATGACAGAGAATATAGTTTCTTACAGACTTAATGCCAATATTTCATGTGATGTAAAATCAATAGATGCCACAAGTAAAATTAATGACATTATTATAATAATACCATTGTAAACATTGTTTATCTGATTTTGAAATTAATAGTATTTTGTAGGCATATATATTAGGTAGAAATTGTACTTTCATTGTCACACTATTTTTGATTAGTTCCTTTAGGAGAGGCTTGGTTGTCTGCCAAACTTCCTCCATCCTGTCATACACAGTCTGTGTAGAGTGAACAAAAGGAAATCACATGTCAGAAACATGCCCTGCTTTATAATAATGATTCCATATTCATACAGAATCATTTCTTGCAGTTGAAACTATTTTCTAGAAATTTTGCATTGGTGTGTCACATTGAAAAAAAGGTTGTTTTTTGTAGTGAGGAATACTGGTGACATTATAGTTAGGGATAAATAGACATCAGTAACTGTCCCAAATCTTTTCACCCATTATTCTTGTAAATTTTACCCATCAAACTCTTGTATTTATTTTTTGATAAATGTTATTACTCCTTTCCGATCCATATATTATAACTAACACAGATTTTTAAACACCATAATTCCAGTATTTCAAAGAAAAATAACACTTTTTCATAGTTTTCATTGTAGTCTTTCTAAATAACGAGATTGTGTATGTCAGGTTTATGTTTGTAAATAATCTAAAAACTGTTTTGTTGTTTCCTTCTATTTTCTTTTTACATTAAGAACTAATATAAATAAAGTCTCCAACTTGTGTCCCATTTTTATTCATTCATGCTTTTTATCTTCTTTATTTAATCAATGTTTCCATTGGCTGAGTGGCTGTTAAAATATACTCATTTCTCTGTTACAAGAGTGAGTCAAAACACTTGAAAATTTAGTTTTCTAAAATTTTACAGACTGAACAAGTGCTGCCAGTGTATTGGACCACCCTCAAACAGTGCCTGTAGCATGGTATGATGGCGTGCTGAGATGATTCCACCTCCATCTCGATATTTCCTCTTGTTTATGACAAAGTAAAACCACCTCATTTATTGTTACAGCTACCTAATTTACAAAGCAATCTCCTCTTTAGGCAAAATAACAGTTGCCTATGTTGTTATATAGATTGATGAAACAAAAACAAAATCTCATAAGACATAAGCCATTTAATTGTGTTTTTATCAAGTTAATGAACGTTGGTCTCATTAAATGAATATTTTTCCCAGAGAATTGTTTGTATTAATCAGTTAACTAGTTAGAAGGATCAAATTTATTTTATTGACACGATTCTGTAGCTATCCCAGTTCATATTTTATTTTATGTTCGAAATTTAAGTTTTATGGCCAACTTGGGAGTTTTATTACAGAATAAAACCATATTAACAGCAGGTTTTCAAATTACAAGTTTTATTTCTTTTCACATCTGCAAATGTTATTTAACGTTGCGCACACACTTTTGGAAGAATAAGATTTCTTATAATGAATGATGCCATTCTTCTGTATATTACACGTGAAATGAGTAATCATCGAGTAAAATAAAATATCCCACAAATCTTTTATCGTAGCAGCAGCAATTTTCTATTTTTTATTTTGTTACTATATTTTTTATTCAAGTATTTCTCGAACTACTTGTGCCGTAGTAAAATACGAATATGAATCAGCTGGTATTATCGAACAGCGACTAGAGCTATGAAATAACAATAGTTACAGCGCGTCTCTTCAGATGTACTTAAAACAAACTGGCAGGTTAATGTTCGTGTGATAGCCTCTTACCTCAAATTTCGATAGAATTTTATTTTTCTATTGTTCATTAAATAAACATTACAATTCTTGAAGTTTTAATTCTAAATTTTTGACACACGATATGAGTGTTTTCACATTTCATAATTATATTACATAAATAAATACCGAAATTTGACGAAATAAAAATTTGCTGGATCTTAAATTTGCGGATTGATCTTTCCACGAAAAACCAAGAAAATAAGTGTCCTACCAATAATAATGCTTTTGCAGTACTTTAGTTTTTTTATGAATTGAAGAATGTGTTGTTTTCTATCTACATTTAATACTTATAATTTATTTCTATTGAGATTATAAAAAATTGTGTACATAGTCCACGATGTTGGTGTCTGCTTGTAACAGGTTATATGTTATATTGAAAGAAATTCGTTTTTCTTGAATTTTTTTAAGTAAATGATTGTGTGAGAAAACACTAGAAAGCCTAACCAAGTTTTCTTTGAAATAATTTAGTTATTTTCCATGTTTAAAAACAGGAAACATGCACAAAAACTTGATTAGAGAGCTATCTGATGTTCAGTCCTCTTTCTTGTGGAGGGGAAATACTCTTCATTATGGAGGAAAATACTCTTCATTATAAAGGCTGTTTCTTACTCTTTCCTGTGTTAATTCTCTCCACCCTGAAACTGTAAATTATTTCACTTGGCACCTTCAGACTCACTTCCTTCATTTTGTTACCATGGTAACTCAAATTAAAATTCTGATAAGGGTTGAAAACAACATTAAACTGAAATTTGATCGTCCCACATGAGGTTGGAAGAAGAGAAAATTGTGACCCCCCAACAAAAAAGTTCCAAATTTTCCAATTTGTCTCAGCCATATGTGTTCCTTGATTAGTTTACTGCAATGCTATCAGCTGTTATAGAGATAATTGTGAAATGTATTGTGTTTTTAAAATGGAGAAGCAAGTTGATGTATGGTAAGTCAGGACCATTTATGGTTTCCTCTCATGGACAGTTTAATTGAGTAGGCCTAAGATTATTTAAAGTATAAGTGGTGATCATAGTTTTGTAAAGTTTAGGCAGGGTTAGGCATGGATCAAAATAACAATCTTAATATGTAAGCAATACGTATTTTTAGAGGAGTCAGTGCAATGCTAACTATGATTTAATCATGTTAATTTATATCTTTCCTTTCTCATTTAAAATGCATTGCACTTTAGTTGTGAACGCAAAAATGGTGCAGTTCAAGTAATTCTGTGACTTAATTTTAAGATCTAAACACTGCACTATCATTTCATTGCTTTACACATGCTATTTCATAAAAGCTAATGTTAGCTTCCATTGGGAGACTTTTGTCTAAGTATGTAATTTTGATCTCCAATATCTTTTTGAAATAACCACCAATTACTGTATTTCAGAGTCTCGTTTTTGACTGTAAATTTAAATATTTTACAACTTTTCCCCCACTCTCTGTTATTTTAGATGGCTGTAGAATGTCTGCAGGCTGTGATTCGGAGGTATTTCCATCATCAGAAGGGCCTTTTGTGACAATAATGACCCCAAAAATGAGCAACATAGGGATCAGGTAGCAATGAATGGGATCTGGAGACATTTTGGAACCATACAAAGCCCAGGTAATGAGATAATGTGTCTGGTCTAAGGTGGGCGGGTCACACAAAGAAATTAGTGGACAAATGGACACCGGGTGGACAGCGGACCCTTGAAACAGGACAATAGTAAAAGGAGTGTATGATAGGGGGGTTATTATAGACGCATCAAGCATGAAAGATGTTGGCCAAGCAGCATTTAGTTAACGACACAATACTAAAGATTGTCAGCTTCTATTACATCTTGATGACAATGGATGCAAACATCCAGTCAAAATTTGGTAATGATTTTTATTGAAATTGTTGAGGACGAAGGGTAGAAAATTGAAAGATAGTTGTCACTGAATGATGATTGTTGAGGAATCAGCCTTTCATGTCATGTGGAAAGAGTATCTATGTGAAGATCAACAGGAAATGCATTTGTTTGACATTTTTGTCACTTTCAAGAGGGTCATTTGAAAGTTCAATTTAGATATGTCCAGATTGTAAAGTAATTTTAAGAAAATCACTGAGGGGATTTTCAGTTATAAATAATGTAAATTTCCAACTGAAAAACAGGAATGAGATAAAAAAAGAAATCAAATCTCATTTCTAGTTCATGTAATATTTAACAGGTTTTCTTTCCATTTTAGCTTGAAACAAATATCCATTCAATTATAATACTGTTTTTAACAAAATAATTAAAAATCGGGTTACTCATTAGAAATTTCTTTTTAACTGTATACCACTGTGTAGCATGCTTACATTAATTTTAGGATTATGTTTACATTATAGCTTGGTAATTTACTTCATTTATTTACAAATGTCTAAGATCTTAAGGTACATTTCACTCTTGCTGACAGATGCAGGTCTTAGGTCACCAGTGATGTCACATCCTGTCTCCTGTTAACCAATCATAGGCAAGATTTTCAAAGCACAGACTGGTTTCAATTTCAGCATATGTTTACCATTGTAAGTATCAGTTACAGCTGATAACCGGCCCAGAACAATATGGCTGTCACTCATTCCTCTACTCAATATATTTGACACATGCAAGCGCCCTATGCTTGATTTACTTCTAATTATGTTTTGAAAATTTAACACTTATCTTATTAATTTCATTATGCTAATTCTATCAGACATATATGAAGTCTTTCACTTTTCACAAGAGTTTCTTTTTCATGTGCAATAAATACAGAATAAACAATTAAGTTATACAGAGGCCATTTTCAAAGTATAAACTTAGACCTTTTGTTCTAATTCTTTCTGTCTGGCAAGCAAGCAATTTAACCTATTGTCTTTTGTGTCTCAATCATGTGAACAAAAATTGAATTTTGTTTCGAGCATTGCACTTTGATCATTAAAATAAAACTTTTGCGATGGATTTGTATAGAAAACTACCCTTTCATGGTGAAACATGACAAGTATCATCAACAAATAAAACTGTGATGGTTCTATCATTACATAACATAAACACATATTCTAGACAATTTTAATATATAAACCATGTTGTGTGTTTGAGCACGGCTTAAACACGTCTTAGCATGTCCGAAACGTACTGACTGTGGAACCAGATCATTATAATTATTAGCCCTCCAATTGATAGCTAAATTAAAGCAATCCAATGCTGGCAAAATAGAGGCAGGCATAAAGTATAGCATATATTCATGAAAATCATTTAAACCACTTTCAGTTTCCAAAATCTAAAGGGATAAGTCCAGGGCACAGTTTAGGAAATGACTGTTTTAGGTATGTGTATTGGATGATCATGTTTCAGGTGAAGGCGGACCTTCTCTCCTAGCATAATTTCATTATTGAAAGTAATCTACTTTTAGTGAAATTGAAAATTGAATGTAATGAATTTACCACTAGTGTGACGGCCATAATTTACCAGTTTTAAATAATGTATAAAGCAGACAATTCATTTTTGAAAAAAAAAAGGCGTATTCAGCGTTGAATTATGTACATTGCCTATTTCATGTCAAGTCCCACGATGATTATATCAAGATAGAATTGTTTTCACAGATAATGCTTTTTATCTATCATATGATCGGGGTGTCACATTGTTTTCGACATATTTCAGTCTATAACGAGATGGGTCGTGTGCCAATACGGAGGAAATCTGACTACTTCATGGTGATTTGTCCACTGGCATGGTTTAGTATCAGGAACAATGCCATGGCTAACAGGCGGTATGTACTTTTCTCATTCCAATACCCTGATATGATTTAAAAACAAACATAAAATACAAAACTGCTCTTTTTGTCGCCAAGAAATTGAGGAAAATACAAAATAATACAAAGTCCTAATATTCAAAATTTATGCACAAATTACATGTTACACTAATTTTGCTAATAGTTGAAACAAACCATATTATAGTGGGTGGACTGAACATTATATTCAAATTTGATGGCTTATGTCATTTATTTTTAAACTACAGACTGTCAAAAAAGCCCTTGAAAATATAAACAAAATATTTCAAAAATTGTACTTGAAAATACTTATTGACCACAATTCATCACATTAACCACAATTCATCACTAATGTGCCACAATACAGCACAAACATCTACCCTAATACCAGCAGATATCATATTAAGTGGAAAAAATGTCTCACTGTTCTTATTGGACAATTATAACAGTAATGTGAAAGGCTTTAGTGAATACATTGTACAAGGCATGGTAAAAATTGATACTAAAGTCACACTTTTAGCTTTGATGGGAGATTTGCGTGTAACATTACAATCAGAAAATAAACCTATTACACTATCCTTACCTCATTCAGAAAATTACCTATACAAGCTAGTGCAGAAGATTGTTGCGTGTAATTTTTTTCCGTGTATTTACTTAAAAAAAAAAAAAAGACACAGTTCTTTTTAATGCATCGCAGAAAATGTAAAACTGTTTACAGTTTTCTCATATTTTTACAACTTTCTTTTTTGGACCGATTTGTGTAAAAAAAAGATGCAAAGTATGTTTTCACCAGTTATTCCCCCTGAGTTATACAACAACAGTCTTGCCAATAATGCAGTTGCGAGATAAAATAAAAAATTTTGTTGTCGTTTTTTAGTTCCAAGATGTATTGCTCTTTAAGGGAAATTCTCGTAATTTTCTTTTTTCCTGTCATCGACGTTTATAGTTATTTAGAAAATGGAAAACATCCATGAAAACGTCAAGATTTAAAATATATAAAGTCAAAGCAATAACAGAATGTTTATCACAAGATGAATTTTGATAATCATTAAGGTTTTAGAGAAAATAACCATAAACCGGAGCAATTTCATCACATCCCACCATAAAAGCAAAGCTTAATTGTTTTAAAACGAAAAAGATTGCGATAAACTGAACCGCCTTAGGATGTACTCTGACAACTGTACAAGATTTAACAGTATAGATAAGTTCTATTTGTCAATTTTGTCATTTGTTAAAATCAGTAAACCACCTTTATAGTTAAGTTTGACAAATTATGGCCAGATCTTGTCATGTGTATGAAAACTTGAGGGCAAAATGCAATATTAAGATAAATTCTTGTCTAATTTGTCACTTCAAAAGAAAACACTTGAAGCTTTTATCAATTAATTTGTAAATTGATATTATGCTTTCACAGGTTAATTTTATTTACACTATACTAATATCTTTTGATGAATTTACTAGAGCCATACTATTTATTACAGAAGTCACGCTACAGATTGTCCTGAAAAGCACAATTGATTATCTGACTTACAAGTGTCTAAAAACTGTCATTAACATAACAGATAAATATGCCGATTTTAAGTTTTTATAAATGCATCTTTCTTATGTGGGATGGAAAAACCTCCTTTACTTAAATAGTAGTATTAACATCCATTAAGCTTAGTTTTGTATCACTACATTTTGATGTAGTTAATGCGATAGTTTATCGTATATGTAATTAAATAAAACTCATAGTAAATTTTATGAAGTAATTAAATTGATAGTAAAATAGTTTTTGTTGATTATTTTTTGGCCTGTACAAAGAGTAAAATAGTTTTTGTTGTACATTTTTTGGCCAGTACAAAGAACAGATAAAAGTAATTGCATGTTATAATGAGTTTTTGATAACAGAAAATAATGTTTTGTTGATTATGTTAGTATTTTAGAATCTTGTGGTTTTTGTTCTTTAATGATAAATTATCTGGTAGCTTTCAGCAATACTGGCTGATCTTTTCAGTTTTGTTACATTGTCTTTTTAATTCAATTTTCACTGTCGTTTTAAAACTACTTAATTTATGCTGCCTTTTTACCCCTTTCTCCCTTTTTCAGTTGCTCTTTTTTTTAAGAGGTAGCCTAGGGCTTGATCATTAACACACAATGTCAGGGTTGTACTCCTTCATTATACCGTCAATTGGCAGAAGGTCTGAATTAGGGCTCTGTTTGTTGTGCGGGAGTCCTTTTATACAAAAAACACACAAATTGAAAATACGGCTATGATATGACAATGCTGTTGAGGAACGCCGGGCAAAATCTGTTGTTGGTACCTTAATCATAGTACAACCACCGACAAAACACATTTCATTAATGGCGTCATGCATGCAATATTGTCTCCGAAAAAGGTTGAATAGGAGGAAGAGCTCTGTAATTCAGAAATCTCATTATACGAACACCGAAAGAAAATGAAAGCGAGTAGAAAAAAGTATAAGTGGAATGAAAACAAAATTGGAATCTCATAGATATGACTAGACTGTGGTACAGTGAATTCGGTAAATTAATATGGGGTTCCTTGCCAGTCTGGAGTCAGGCTTGCCAAAATAAAATGAGCGATGGAAAGCAATAGCATTCTTTTCCCGTTGCATGAAAAGACATTATTACAAGGCAGTGGCTTTCCGAGACCTTTCCGCAAATTCATAATACTTTTTCTGCTTTTTTAATTTGAAATATGATAAAAAATATGTAATTACTTTTGTTGCGGTTCTGATTTGTTCCTATTCACGCATTTATGAAAAGAACAGTCATGAAAAACAGTTTCTTCATTTTCAAAAAGTCATTTATTAATGTCAAGAAATAAGTGATTTTATCAAGATATTTTGAATTTTTCAGAACTCGGTTTTGCATTCTGGTGATTGTATCGCTCGGAAAATACACCCAAATTAACATGAAACTGATTGAAAAAATATACCAGCAGATTTGGAAGGAAATTCAACTTTATACCCATATTGTTATGAGATGACACAAGTAAAAGAGGAAATTGTGATCTTCAATATCCAAAGCAAATGAAGGCCCTTATCTATAATTAATACACTGTGATAGTTCCAAAAAAACTATAAAGTTAATCAAGTCTCGGAGTGGGAACGGAAAAATCTATATTGATTTGTTTACAGATAAAACATCAACTAATTCAAGAACTCCAATGCATGGCGGGTTTCGGACAATCTTTTTGCCTGCGAATGAATTCCTTCTCGGAATAAACGCGGGGCAATATCTTCTATTGTTTATTTGTGCTTGGTTAAGCTGCGGTGGAATAAAGATAGCGAGTGGCATTTGAGTCGGTCACCGTGAAAATGATGCGGCATTGTTTGACTAGGACTGCAGAAGGCAATCATCGGAATTAATTTCATAATCTCAGAAAAGAGAAAATGATCTTTTCTCCAATACATCTCCAAATGATTGCTTTTTTGTCTTGATATCAAGTTATTGACCAAAATTCCTTCATTTATCAACAACAGAAATCTTTCCCCCCTCTCTATTGAGTTTCAAACTGAATTCTGCTTCATTAGGTGGATTTATTTTGTTCCAGAAAAAAAGAGTGAGCAATAGAACCTTTATTAATAAGGTATCTCCTTCAGTATCAAATAATTAGAATTTCTTTAATTGGAATTTAATAGTACGACAGAATCCTAGCAGATTCCTATTTGTAAGTGATACGAGTTTCCACTTAAAAAGGAAAGAAATTCAATAGTTGTTTCTTGAAACATTTTTTTTTCTGGCACGCCTCAGACAATTCTTACTGAAATGGTTGTTTAATCATTGGTAATTTGTAGAACACATTCCCTAATGGCATTGTTCTAACTAATTCTTGAAACAATCAAGCAGGGCCCTTTTCATCTGTATTCCAAGGCGACAAATTAATCGGATTGCTATTGATAACTTAAGCAGAAATTACCAGACACGTCACTGGGAGCTCCGAACTAATTAGAAGAAGTGATCTTCTATTCTACATCAGAAAACTCCCTCTAACTTTCCATTGATACTCTAAGAATCACTTCAAATGTACTTGTAGTCGTTCAAATTTGATGCCGCTTTTCTTCAATACTTTGTTTCGCTGTTTTTTTTATTTTATTACATTTCTCTTGCAGACAATAGAGTTATAAAATAAATAAATATATTTAAAAGGTTCTCTTAAGAAAATGCACTGGTATCATTAAAATTATGGGATTTATTGCATCCTACTCGAATGGATAAGTTGGAAATTTAGACTTATGATACACTAAAAATGCATCTCTTGAGAAAATGGATAATGGAACAAACCATACATCATGAAAAAATGATTTGTTTAAAATTTAAAGATATGCATATGCCATATGCTAGAGAAGTAGAGATGGGGTTTTTATGCTAATGAAGAAGACAGTTTAAGGGGGGAAAATAAGGCTCATTTTACAAAACATTAATAAGGAAAAAGGACAATCTGTAAACTTGTTTTTTTTGTTTGTTTTTTTAAAGACATGTCTGGACTTATCAGATGTATATAATATTTTGTCACATAAAGAACATTTCACAAAATATTGATAAGGAAAAAGGACAATGTTTAAACATATTTCTAAGCTTTAGACATTTTAGTATTTGTCAGATATGTTTGTAATAAAAGGTCATAAAGAATGGAACTTAATGATGTTCAATTCTTTTTATTAAAGTTTATAAAGGGTTTTGGTGCACATGTAATAATAAGGCATAAAGGAAAGATGAAAGATTGCCAAGGCAAATTTCAAAAATGTTTGTAACTGATAATACCAACTCTTATATCTTTTTGAAAATAGTGCGTAGTTTTAATAGTGTACAAAAAAGTCCAGCTAATCTACCATGTGTTAATCTACTGCTAACTTACTATAGATAAACCCTCTGGGGTATATTTACTTTGCCTTTTTATAAAAGGAAATGTAAGAGTCCTGTGGACTGCGTTGATGAAACATATGAAGAGTTTTGAATTTCCCTCATTTCTAATTTAATTACACAACATACACAATGGCCGAATCTGATTATATCTTTGATACTTTTCTTCTGTATCCCACATCCTTTTCAATGACTGGTTTCAGGTCTCTTCTAAATGAGTTTCAAAAATCGTTGCTAATATGCAAAGGTTCGCCTAAAGCAATTGTGCGAACAATTACGATGGCTAATCACGCAGGTATATCTTTTGGAATAGAGAATCGTGCATGATATCGGACTATTTAGTCATAATTAGATGTTGCCTATGATAGAACCATATATATAGGTAATATGAAACCTACATACCGTGATTTAACAATTGATAAGTATCAGCTGAATATTGATGCTAGCCTCTGATAAAAATTTAAATGTCCGTGCATATTTTTATTTGTTATTTAGAGGTCTTTAAATCTGTTTGTTTAGATTTTGGCCATGATTATTCATTCTTAATCAATGAAGGTTAGATTTGATGACTTTTAAAATAGTCTATGCCTAATACTTTGTCGAGGAAGGAATTATAAAAATTCCTGGAGATGAAGAACTCTTTGATTATTTTGATCATTTTTTGCATAAAGCGTGCACAATCCTGGGTATATCTAGATTTTCATATCCCGTCTAAACACCAGTAATTACTAGGGACTAGCCCAGGTAATAGAAGATCTTTTTGGAAAGAACACTTCAAATGGTTGAATAATTTTTATAATGTAAGATCATTAGTTTTAGGTTTCATGTAATTTTCTGATTTTATCACCATATATCCATAATATCTAACCAAGCAATTACCAACTTTCATGAATGGAAATTCAAAAGAACTCCGCAAAATTATTCTGCTGTATATATTTTGTACATGGTGCGATTAACCAGTCCGACATAAAAAAAAAATCCATATATTTTTTGTTCTCCTTTTCAAAAAATGTATTTATTATTTGCCAATTTATTTTTTTGTCCTAAATGTAAAGTCTGCATGATCATTTTAAGAGAAAACAGAATTTAAAAGTAAAAGTGTCTTCTGGATGGGTAGTTTATAAATACTGATCATCAGATTAAATTTGATAATTATTATGCCTCCAAAACTTTAAGATTTCATGATAAAAAGTTGTATTTTAAGAAGATAATAAAATGATTTTGATATATTTTTTTTCTAATTATTATTACAAAATGAGAAAAGTAATTATATTTGAAATAGAAAACTATCTATTAATGTACTGCATATCAATGAATAAATGCACTTCAGAGCACTTAAGATATTACAAGACCTTAACAATGTTTTTTACATTATCATGCACAATCAAATTTGCAAAAAATACTTTAAATTTAATTAAGTATAGAAGGAAAATGATTTATGTCATAAATAAATTATAGTATATTTTAAAGGTCAATTCTTATGACCTGAGTTTTATAACAAAGGGAATCTAGTAAGAGCAAAACATTAAAAGTAAAATGTTTTCCATTGTACAGGTTTGTAAAAAGTGGTTTATGTAGAATTAAAATTCAATAAAAAACAAAATATTTACTAGAAATATTGCATGTTTAATTCAATTACTGCTCATGTAAAAAGAGGTAATTACAAACAATTAACATTTTGGCATTATTTTGAAACTTTATCAGTGCAAGTTTGCAAAAAAGAAACCTTTAATCTAACCAGTGTCAATTTATGACCAAAATTAGAGATTTTATTTTTTGAGCTTTGCTCCGCCTCAATTTTGGGTTGAGATCCTCTAGCTCTGCCCACTTCTGCATCTATACTCTCCTCCTCCACTTTGCAAGTGGAGACAATTCATTAGAATATAGACCCATAAGTGTGAAACAAGTCCTGACAATGCCCAATTCATTTAAAAGTCTCATTATTTTAATAGCAAGTAATATCAAGTCAAAAAAAAATTCACCAATAAAAAGAATTGGAAAATTAAAAGGATGAATTCCTTGTTCAATAATAACTCATATTCAAAATATGATTAATTAGTGAGGTCAAATTGAAAACAATAAAATGATTGGATGTTTATCAGCTGTCAGTTGTTTATACATAGTTAAAAACCAACTTGTCATCGTTGGATGTACACATTCCCTTCATCTTTTTGCCAAGAATATTTTCTGAAATTTTAAGCTTAAAACTAAAAAAAAATGAGAGAGAAAGGAGAGAATTAATCTGCATCAGATTAAAAGTGTGTGCAGACTGCAAAATTCCACACATTTTAGTAATTATTTCCAGAAATAACAGTAGGGAAACCTGTATCATTTACCAGGGAGGATAGTTTATTACAAATAAAAGGTGTTCAGTCTAATGACCTGACAGAGTAACTGCCTTTTTCTCCCCTTGATTTATTCATCCTTTCTACAAAGTTTTATACCTTTGTAGGGTTTCTTATATCTTCAATGCTCTGTAATTAATTATTTTTAAAAGGATTCCCATGTGAGCATTAATCACTGATTTATTTATATATTCATTTATAATGATATGTAGCAAGAGTTATGTGTCTTTGTTGCAATGACTAATTATAAATACAAGATTTTTTTGTAGGAATATAATTATATTGTTAGGTAATACATATCCAAATAACACATATAATTATATTCTGTGCATTTCTGAATTGGTATCTTATGGCTGCCTTTTACACATTTTTTCTCTTTTAGCAAATTAATTTGACAAGTGACTGTCCCTGCACATATTATGATAAGTTACTTCCCTTGTCTTATAGGTATTTGTAAAAAAGCCCATGTCCATGACTTACAGGTATTTCACATAATCTTATGTGTAAAAAGCATATACATGATAAGTTACTTCCCTTGCTTTATAGGTATTTAGCACAAAAGGTCAAATAAACTTAGACAGGTGATTGTCTGTCAAGTATTCATGGTATTGTTTCCTTTTGTTTAGCAAATGGAGTTGCAATGTCACAATACTGTAACTAGAGAAACAAGTTACTTGTTGCACATTTAATATATGCAGATTAAGTTGCATAATTTTTTTTGCAAAGGTAGTTGCGTTTAATGTGGCAATGTGGACGTGTAGGGCTGTATCGCACACAGTGTTTGTCATGCTGCATAAAGCGTTACTAATTTAAGTCATGATAGAACTATTGATAATGTCGGTTTGACAAAGACAAAACTTTATCAATGATCAGCTAATGTTGTGTGCAGAAAAAATGCATTACACAGTATTATATGACAGATTACCTCGTATGATTATACGCATAACAAAATATTTTTTTTTTTTAAATATTGAGACCTCATATTATGAATTTATCAATAATTTCTTTAGATATTTTGTTAAATTTTTTCTCAGTATGATACTGAAATGCTCTTTCTCTCTCTTTTCTTAAAAAAACCAACAGGCAGTCTGTTGCTAAGCACATATCAAGAAAACTGTTAAGATTTCAAAGGAGATTAAAGTACAATAGGATTAGGAAAAATGCTAAAAATGCCAGGAACTAAAAAAAAAACAGAACAGTTGCTCCAAATATATGACATAATCCAAACTGATTTAAATTACATTTGTCCCCCATGATATATGGTGAAGGTTTTTCTGATAAAGGCTTTCAATTGTGCTCAGAGATAGTAAAAGCAGATTGTCCCGCAATGGCACAGAGATAAAGCCTCTGATGACATTGCTTGACAACCAACATGGCCACTTAGAAACAGGAAGTACTGCTCTTCAATGTGGAGATTTGTTGAGTTGAATCTTCAAATAAAGATGCATATGGTTCAAATTCAGGTAGAAATCTGTAGGCCCTCAAGTATTGTGCACTTCAAGATTGATAATGAATCTAAGGCAGCTCTCCTGGTCTCCATTTAATTGCTTTCAAGAAACATAAATTACTTGCAATTATAGTAAAGTCTCCTTTTGCATCAGAAGTCTGTCTAATAACACTAGGCAGACTGTAACTTAAATAATTATTGAAGTTTGTCTTTGTGTAATCTAGACATGTACTTCCTTTATTGTTTGATGAAGAATTGCTTCTGGATGGTTTATTGAGAATCCAAAATGTTTATCAGTCTAAGTATTATTTGTAATGTGGGAAATTGTGAAAAATTGGGGACACCAAATTATTATTTCTTATACCCATCCTATCATTCTCCTACAGTTTGACTGTACCATAAATCTAAGATACTGTCAAACCTGTTGACAAGTAGCACTTATATGACTTGTTTAACAGAACAACAATGATATATTTTTAAAGGTAAACTTTAAGATTTTTTTTCAGAGTATATTGAAATTTCCATAATATGAAAAGTTCTTTTAATTTATTTGGAAAATTGTCTTTGGACAGGTTTGACTGTATATATTTTAGAAACAATATAAAGTAGTACTGTACTCACCAATTATTTACTTGTAATATAGTTAAACCTGTGTCTTGTGCTAACTGTTTCTTTTGTTCTTCTGACGGATATGGATGCTAAAAATAGAAAAGAAACAAATATAAAATTATTTCATATCTATATTTAACCAACAGTGAATAGGAACTGCATTTTAATTAATTTGTAGCCCCCTCCCTTCACTAATAAGGGCATAAAACTATAGCTACACTAGTCAGTGTATAATTGTCCTCTGGTGAACTCTTTCACAAAAAGCTCTATATTTGGAACATTGGTTAAAGTGAAAATTGTTCATGATATTATGACAAGAAAGTGAACACTACATGTTGTTACATTAATATTTAATTTTTGATATTTAATAATTATTATGTTTCATTATTTTTTATCTAAAAATTTAATATATTTCTTCAAATAAGGAATTTTCATTTAATTTTTTTCATAACATTTCTATCACATTTATGTTCCTTCTCTACAGTAGAAAAAGTTGAAAGCTTATTTTAGTTGAATTACACAGGAAATCCATTTTTAGACCCAATACTTTTTCACTGTCAGACTGTTGCAAACAAATATTTTCAGAAAAAAAAATATTGTAAAAGACTTAAACATAAACCCATTAAAATGTCTTATATTTAAAAGTTGAACCAAAATTGATCTAAAACTGTTGCCATAGTAACAAACATCTCTTAGAAAATGAGAAATGCATTCTTGTGGAAAGATGAAAATAAGTCAGAGGAAGTCAAAATTGGGAAATCTTCTTATAACAGCATTGTTGAAAGTTGGAATAAATTTAATCAATGCTCCTGGAAAATACAAGTTTCCTGTTCCCATTGGGACAGGGGAGTGAGCAAAAACGCCAGCACAATTCAATTAACAGACAAAATTGATCACAGCTATGCTGTGGCACAAACTCGCTTAAGGGACAGCTCACAAAAACCCTTTAAACCTTAAAATGTTATAATGGACCCTAAATGAGTGGCACAGAGCACTTTGCACATTCACATGTACTATATGGCAGTCACCAAATGAATGTGAGTAATGTATTTATAAAGATTCTAGGAACACATTTCCTTTTCCAGGAATAGGTTTTTCATTGAGAGCCATTATGGCAAGGCTTAAATAAATGGGTTAAGGTATCTGTTGTTGATTGATGTTTATTGTGAACTTGCTTTGCTATATGGTCTTTATGAAAAGGTGGTTGTTTAAGAATAGGTTAAATTGATAAAGTCTGTGTAAATAGGTAAACAATTTATGGTCTGTGTGAATGTGTAGATGGTTTTAAGTGGTGGCAATTCCATTATATTTGGGTTTGTTTTTCTCTTTGTTGGAAAAAGAACACATAACTATGGTCTGTGTGTACAGGTTGAAATTCTTTTTTTGTTTGATACTAGGGGAAATTCTGTGACTGAAAAGTACATGCTCTGCTCTTTCATAATTTTTGCAAAAGGGGAAAAATTCTTATTCTTAGAAGTGGAATTGTTGTCATGGTTTTATGGTCTATACAGATTATAGAATATTCATTTTTTTTTGGGGGGGGGGGGTGTTATTAAATATCAAAATATTTATAGAACTGAACATCAGAGAAAAATTGTTATTTTGTCATACATATGCATAAACATTGACAATTGTATAGATTTAATAGCATGGTATTGAAAATTATGACATATATATGTTGAAATAATCTCAGAAGTTTTGCATATTGTATGGAAGATGGTTGTGGGTTCAAGTGTCTTTTAGGTCAGAAAAGTTTCACCTATCTAACAGTTGACTAGCTTTATTGTATAATAAATGATAGAACAGAATTATCTGTAAACTGCTGGTATGTGGGGTTGCACCTTAGATGTATATTTTCAAAGTAAAGATAACATGGGTTGCACCAATAGATCAAAGAGAAAATAGATAGATCAAACAGGGTGTTTAATTGTGACAACCCATCTTTTCAATCAACATTGAAATGTCTGTTGTAGTGAAAATTAGTTCAAAGTTCCTGCCTGGTAAACACAGAGAAATTACTCCCTCTCCTGAACAAGGAGCAAAGCATGGATAAATGTCATTAAAAACCAAGATCAATATTTTAAACAAAAGTCTGGGAAAAATAAATCTTAGTTTAAGCAGTGAAAATCCCTCAGATCTTGTTATTTTAACGATAATGACTGTCTGTCTATTTCACGTATTGCGTGCACTGTGTGCATGTATGTACGGATTAATTATTTATTTATGATGCAAGGAGTGGAATTCTGGTGTCCTAACTAATCAAGGGGAGGAGGAAAATGTATACTGTCTTTGAAAGTCTCTTTAATGGCTTCACCTAAGTGTGCTCTTCATTTGGGAGGAGAGAAAAACGTACTCTTCTTGCTTCTGCTTGGTTGGCTATTTTGTAATTTGCATATGACCTAATTAGCGCATGTATCATTTGCATAATGCCACACAAGTTGAAAACTTTTATTATGATTGTTTTAACGTCTTTTCAAATGTATTTAAATCAGACAATGAGTGCATAGAGCAGAAACCATAAAATGAAAATTTCTGGTTGACATGAACGTTATTTCGAGAAACAGTGGTTAATTACAGCCCATTTCATTTTCATAGAATGGCATCTTTGATTTAATGTTGGTCTGCTAATTTGAAAATGATCAAGTATTAATGATCTTGGTAGACTAGATCCTTTTTAAATACTGCCATCACCATGTTTATTGTTTTCGCAAGTCCGAAGGGAACACTGTTGTGACGTAGACAACTTGTCAATGATATTTTATGGCGTGCGGAGGTATTGAACTTTTTAATATCTTTTCAAAAGAGACAAAGGAGGATGTAGGCAACTGAATCCATTTTTTTTCCGTCTGGACTTTGTTCATTGTATGCCACTATTGGTTCAATTTAGCGAATATGAAAACAGAATGCTGTCACAGTTTCAGTAGACAAAAACTTTTTTGTGTGTGTTTATTTTTCTGTAGTTTTGAATGATGTATTAATTTTGTAATTTATTACCATTGACTTATTTATTGAACTTTAGTAAAAAAAAAAACAATTAATGTGAATCATTAGCTCAAAGGAAATGTACATGTAAAATGTATTAAAAAACAAAAAGCGTAAACTCTGCTAAATTAATGTTTTACAATTAATTTCAAGTGATTGATTTATACATACACTACATTGTCATACATTATAATTTGCATATTGACATGTGACAAAACCATTTTAAACACATGTAAAAGTATCAATGTGAGGAGTTGTCTTTCATTGAGAAGGAAACTTTCCATTGAAAATTTGATGAGTTTCATTTTTAAAGCACCAACAGTATGGTCAAAATGTATTGATGATTGTCCGCTTGCGTCACTATATACTAATGTTACTTTATGCTAATGGCTTAACACTACAAAAATAAAACTTCTTTGTATATTTTATAATAGTTTTCTAATATTGATTGATGAATCAAATTTTAAAACACAAAGGAAAATACTGAACAATATCAAGAAACATTTTTATAGTTTTAATGGGCGCATAATTTTAAATTACAAGATTTCACAACTGTATGTCGCTGACTGCATTTGGTTGAGCATCATATTGTATACGTTTGTATTCTCTTGTGCTCTATTGTCCTGTTTATAGACACTTGGTTATGGAATTAAGAAGACAGCTTGGCATCTCCCGGGGGATGCAGGCTTTATAGATCATCATTGATTAACCCTTCATGAACTGTGTCTAGCTTAGACCAGCCATCATCAATATCCAAGTATAATCTAGCATATCTGTCTATAAATTTGTATTAAATCTGGAAGATATGTTCAATATAAATCATATCATAGCCATCCATAGAGGCATGTTGGTGTTACTGTTTTTCTCATCAAAATTTATGAGTATACTGAGTATATAAAACATTGAAAAGGTCTTCAAATGCAGAAAAAAAGAACATGATTTACAAGGGTTATGAATACATTGCTGATGTTATAAATATTTGTTTTGAAAGTGATTTAGAAGTCGGTATTACAAACGAGGGAACCACGAGACATCGACTGGATGTAGTTCTATTCCATTCTTGCCAAAACTAGTAATAAAAGAAACTATGTTAATTTAGTTAGAGAATGGTGCCAGGCTCATTTATTGTATTTTAAGTATTTACTGGGAAATCAATCAACTCGTGCACCTAGTGAAAACCAGGAGAACCAGCATCCATATCTTTACTGTTAAAGTTTTTTGTTAAGCCCGCCTCTATCTTGTGACAGTCATTAACAACCCCTTCAACATCCACTTGATAGACAATAAAACTTCACATATCTGTGCACAAGTTTACTTTTAATTGCACGTATTCTCCCATAAATGTCTACCTCCTATATATAAACTACATCCTAAATCCTACCCTCACATTTATGTTTCATAATTTACTGCTTTTTGAGTGCCTATTACTTGTGTATAAGAAAAAAACAACACTTTTTGTTCCATCTTTTTCTTTCTATTTCTTGCAAAATTCTCTAATGTCAACAATAACATACAGCTAAACAAATTCAAGATTTTCCCACATTTAAGGTGTAAGTATACTTATAATTAGAAATCTGCATGAAGTTTTTGAATTCACTCAATATTAAAGCCAAATTCGCCACTGCCAAATTTTGTACTCTGGTTTCCGTTAGAAATTGGTAATATGTATTAGCCCTACTTCATTTCAAAAGAAATTGAAAGGAGCCTTCTATTACGAAGCAGCTAATGAAACAATCTTATCATCAAATCTTTGCCATCTAGGAGTGAAATTAGATACAGCTGTCAATAATTAAAAACAGCCATTGTTCATTTCTTTCATATTTCCAATAATTTTGCTAACCAAATAACTAAAACTGAGTTTCGTGCTTCATTAACTGATAGGAAATGAAAGGATACAATTTTGAAAATGGATACTCTTGTAGAGTGGAGATAGAAAAGTTAGGAAAAGCTCCCATGATGCAAATCTGAAGATGTTAAATAAACATGGCTGTTACACAGTGTTTGTTTTGTCAATTGAGCTGGTCATTTTGACACTGACCAGTTAACTGGACATAGATTACGCACAGATCAGGTGCCGAGACATGGGTAGTAATGATAGCCCTTGTCAGTGAAGGTGATATCAACGTCCCATGGGTGACTGCCAGCCGTCACAGATTCCTGACTTTATGGGTTTTTAAATCAGCATACAGTGTACATTATGGATGTCAGAAGAACACTTGATACATTGGTCAGATTTCTCATGAACTTGGTGAAAGTCATTTTCAGCAATCACAGTCAAATTTGACAGGGAAGGGTCTGATAATTGTGTCCCTATGAAGCAATAAATACTTAAGTGATTTATTTATAAATACTTAACTGATTTCTTAGAAGACTGTAAAGTCTCAATATTATAAATATTGCATATTGTTATGAATGTGAAAATTCATTAAAGATTCTACATAAAGTTATTGAATTTCTGCACTGTAGTAAATTAAATATTTAAATATTCTATTCTTATTAGTTATTGTACTCATTATTTTGGTTAGTTTTTCTTGTGAAGGAATGTTGGGGTGGGGGTGTGTGTTTAGTCCTTGCTTAATGAGAGTACAAAGATATTTCAATTTATCATTAATTCGTTAATATTGAATTAATTTCAGCACAGAGTATAATTTCTAAAACTATTTCATTATTCAATATTAATCCTTAGGAATTGCTAGTGTTGGCTTGTTCCAAATCCTTAATGTACTGGCAATAAAATAATTAAGCGGTTCCCATTTATTTAATGAGAAAATCTCTTTAATACCTCAGTTTTATGTCTTCCTAGTCAAGAATATTATTTGTATAATGACATGTAAGTCCTTTCTTCATGTAATAAAATTCTCTTAGAGATCACCTTTTTCTATTAATAATGATGACCTTGACCTTGGTATGACAGGTTTCCGAGGTAATTATTTTAATTAACTTTAAGATCACTGTGACTTCTCAACAATCTATTACATTACCTGCCCCCACCTGTTATTATTCAACCTATTAAATTTATGTCCATTTGTCCTGAATACTCCCTTGTGTTGACCAAAGGTCAACAACAATTGACCACAATGATAATCATCATCTACAAACAAATAGGTATCAAAGTAATTTTGACCCATTGAGCTTAGACTGATCATAGAAAGAAATTTGAAAGGTCATTTAGGTCAACTGATTCACCTAGATTCAACTGATAAATGTATTTGAAGTGCTGAAATTCACTTAATCCCCTACTGAAATCTACCCAATTTCTGTTAAAAGATGACATAGACTGAGGTTGTTGTAACATACATGTAAATAGAAATACCTAAATGAGAACATTAACTTATTATGCAAGTTATAAAACAAAAATAATGCTTTATTTAATGTGTATAATGTGTGTAGAAATTAAAGAAGACCATTGCTTTAGATGATTTAGACTTATTTATCTTACATGTCATTGTTTACATACTTCTCATATAATTTTCTTACATTTAAAAGTTCACAAATATCTTATAATTATAATATTCTTATATTTGATAGTTGACATATATTTCATAAAATTTTCTTATATTTGATAGTTCACATTTTTACTCATATCTCATATAATATTTAGATATTTAATAGTTTACACATATAACTCAAATAATATTCTTGAATGTAATAATTCACATATATCTCTTATAATATTCTTAAAGTATATCTCATATAATATTCTTATATTGAACAGTTCACATATACCTCATATAATATTCTTACATTTAATAGCTTATGGTAAGGGTTAGATATCATATATACTATTATTTTTTTCCCTTTTGTCACGGTCAAATTTGTCAGTAAAAGCTGTAATGTTACCGAATGTTGATTTAATTTTTGCAAATGATTTGGATAAAGGAAAATGTTTCATTGCCAAATTTAAATGCTATCATGAAAAGTTTAAGGCACTTTTACTGATAAATATTTTGATCCTGAAAATGTTTTTTGTGTATCTCAAGGTTGCATCAAAATTTGATGAATCAGGTCCATTTTTAAGTAAACTTTTTGACTGTGAAAAAAAACAAACTACATGTCATTCTAACCAAATGATGAAATCCTATTTTGAGTTTGCATTAATTTGGATGAAGGACAGGGTTGTTGTTGTGCTCTCCCCACCTCTAGATGTCCGTATGTTTGCTCAGTGTGTGAAGCATGCCCGTGAATTTCGGCAGGTAGAAGTGACCATCAATAATAGTTGACAACAATACGACAGTTATTCTTGTAAATTTCCATATTTGGCCGACGTTTGAAAAGAATGAAGTTGCAAACCTTTTAGGTGCGGTGAAATTTAAATATGCCCGAAGAAAGGTATTAAATGAAGCTTGAAAAGGACATCGAAAGGTTGAAAAGGGACATTTTCTTGCCTTTCAGATGTGTAATTTAGTAGTGACTATCCCCTAAATGCTCCCTAAATGCTCCACTACAAAAGGGCAACAATTAGTGTTGGGGCGCTGATGGTTATTTGGATTTGATTGAAATTGTAAGACAATAAATGTCATTGGGTGAATGGGTAATTGGAAAAGTGAATCGTTAATTGCAGAATAATGTGAGAACCATGGGGTGTCTATTTCAGAGCTCAATGGTGTGGTGCTTGACCACTCTCTCCATCTTTCACCATGACACTAGACACTTGGTATTTTATGGCCCTAGCATTTTGTTTAATTTATTTTAGGATTTTTCACTCCAAGCTGGATAGTTTCAGAGTGCAGTTAAACTTCAAACATTAAAAAAAATGAGTTTACATCATATATTAAAATAAAACCTATTCAAACTTTCTCTTTTTCTCACTCTTGTCCCCAAAGAGTTTCATATTTGATTATATTAAAGTATCTACAGGAAATATTTATTCTCCGAGATATATAAGAGTATGAAATCAAGTGAATTTATTACATAATTATTATTTGTAAGACATAAATATTTATAACAAAATTTATAAAATTACTAGAATAGCATAGCTTCACATTAAAATCTTGTCCTACTTAAAAGAAAAAGGATAAAAATAGCAACAAAAAAAAAGTTATAAACAAATTTTTAATAAAACTTTAAAAAAAAGTCTTGAATGATTCCTTGGTCTTTGTTTTAATGGTATATAAGTCTGGTTTAGGACTTTTTCAAGTGACATTTTATGATACTTGTGATGAGTTGGCAAATTACTAATATGTAATAAAATTTGAATGTCATTTTGGGGTCTAGTGATATTTAAATATTTGTTTATTTCCTATGATAAGGAAAGAAGTTTGCAAGTTGGCTTGCAATAAATGTCAGTTTTAATGGTTTTGTTTGCAGGGTTTTGTCAGGTTTATTGTACAGCAGACTTTACAGGCATGTGCAAAACACACTTTACAGTAGAGCTACACTTTTTTTATAGCTTTAACACTGATCCTAGGCAGGGAGAGAGAAGACTTTTCATAGTTAAGCTCTGGATCTAGAGACAAAATGGTGATTGTTTTAAATGTAGTTGTTTATTATTTTAAAATTATTACAGAAGAAAAAAATATATAATGAAATTGAAATCGGGTATTTAAAAAAATCATACTGGCCGCTTTGTGAAGTTTAAGTTACAAATTTCTTTATTTATTTAGATTTATCCTTAGTAAACTAAAGTGTTTAATCAATTATAAACAATTTCTATTTTCTAAAGTCTAACCTGATTACACTATAAAAATTAAAAAAGCCCTCTCAATTTTTATGTTCTTTATAGAATAATTTAAATAAATCATGATGTACATTGCAAATAATTTTAGATAAAGAGTTATGTCCCTTTATGATTAATTCTTGTTACATCAGAGAGTGGCAGTATTTGAAATGCCTTACTGTATCTCCTTTGAAAAGTTCTGATAAATTGGTATTTTCAAAAGACATTTTGAAAATTTTATGAACTGTTGAGATAATAAGATCATTTAAGGACAAGCTTGGTTGTCAAGTTACATTTGTCATTTTGTCAGGCAGGGGCCGGAGTTGACAGAAATATTAAAGCCAGATTGTTCATATGCAAGTCAATAAAGGTAAATAAAACTTTTTGATCGTTGACATGTTAAGTTTTATAAAGAATATTGTCGGAGATTGAGATAAATTACCAATATACAAGGCGTAGGTGGCTCAATCCTGCTTGACTTTGTGAGAATTTTTCATTCATAAATAGGGGAGATAATCCTGTATTTATCACGGGTGTCATAGACAGCTAACTGGGGGTCAGGTGCTAGTGACAATACAGATCCACCTTAATCTTCACGCTGGTACAAATAAAGATTATGTAAGACAATTTACTGAATCACAACATTAGGGATGACAACAATATTGACATGTGTGATGAGTAAGAAGTTTAGTTATAGCCTGTCAAATCACATGACATCCTGCTTCATTTTTTTTTTTTTTTTTTTTTTTGAGAAACAAAAAAAATGAAAGGCTTTATTCTATGCCCCTCTTTGTCTTTATTGAAAGTATGAAATAAAAGTATCATCAGTCAGTAAAGAAATAAATGTTTGCCAATTATTTTTTTTACTTCTACAAAGCAAGAGGGGTTGCTTTAATTATAGGTAACACCACATGCGCTAAATAGCATCAAATACTTTATTTTGATTGGATATTTACATTTAAGTTATTGTTCGACAATCTGTTGCACACAATGCACATCTGACACAGGTATAATATGCAAATATAAGAAAGAAATAAGCACTTACAGTTAAATGTTGAAAGAGCCACGCTCTCATGATATTTGTAGCAACTTTTGGAAAAATGCCGCGTTTTTTCTGCCGTTTGGGGTTTCTATCTTCACAATCCTCATCGGCAGTGCCTTCGCCGGAACCAACACTGTTGTCTAAACAATCTCCTGAAAATAGAACAAATTCATGCATGATTTCCTTCAAGTTAAAATAAGTAAATTTAGTAATTTTTCTTAGCAAATTACATTTTTATAATCAAGTTCTTAACGCATACCTGAATTGCTTCTTTTAGTGACTGTGAAATATCCAAACAGAATATTTTCGAACATTTTCTTAAGTTTTTTTTCAAGTGATGCTCCCCCTTGAGATTTGTTTTATGTAAATTACCTCCCTTTATCCACAGATTACGGCTGATTTGAACTTGTACAAATTCCATTTTTCAATGTATATTACAAAACTGAAGTTAAAAGCTATTTTAAAGAACATGAAAATCGAAAAAAAAGTAGTTCCAGTTGTTCTGGTGTAAACATTGCCGCTGATGTTTGCTTGATGTTTTTCTGAGATAAGTTACTTGACTCCGTTTAGGTGATAGGGCTTGTTAGATGCGAGTCTGATAGTGGGATCTGTTAGGCTTCGGCAGTGACCTGTTTTCTTACGTCAAAAGTTCACATCAACACGTTTCTGCAAGGATCACATTACTAACCCATTAAATTTGATAATTACGATAAAACATGCTGGAATTTAACTACGTTTTAAACAGATGCCCATGGCAGTTTACTCAGCTTTAAAACTTGGCGGACGGAAATGTATACTATTTATCATATTCCCTGAATATTCGCCAAAATATCTTTTCTATTCATTCTTCTCAATTTTATTTTAAGGTAAAGTCATAACGTTTAAGATCATTTTCAGCTCGTAAAGTTGAATGTGAACAAAAGCGAGGGATCGCATTACGTATGTATAGTCTGAAGAACCAGTAAAAACCATGAAAACTAACACTAATTCAGCTTTAATGACTAGATTTAGTTTAATTTGATATGTATCGGAATGTATCTAGCCTAATGTGACAGACCGACAAACCCTCAATGTCGGACCGGATAACAAAAGAAATGACAAGTTTATTTTTGAATACTATTTGTGTCAAAGTTTTTTCTGTAAGTTAAGTATTTTCACCCATAGCTGAGATTTTACTCAATAAAAATGATGAATATCAACCAGTAGACAAAATTGGCCACAATGATTGATGGGATAGCCATTTCATAATAATATTTTTCCAATCATCTACAGAATTCAATTTACTGAAATAATTGCAAGCGACCAATTGCAAATTAATTACTGTACTCCACTGCTAATGCTGACTGGCTTTTTTTTTTTTTTTTTTTAAAGTTGTTAGTTATTATTTTACTTGATTTGAACAATTTTCTTTTCCTAACAAGGTAATGTATATCAATAGCTTTAACTCTCTTTCTCCATTATTATAATTATTGTGTAAATATTACAGCAGTTATTTTCACTTTTGGTGTAAACTATTTCTAAAGCCGTCTTTTTAAATTTTGGCATTAGTTCATTTAAAAGCAGTTATTCTATAATGTATCATTAACGGACATGTACATAACTGTTTTGTCTACACCATGTGAGCAGAAATTTGACAAAAATTTAAAATAGGCGTAAGTGAATTGGTGTAATTCAGATCTTGTTGTTGATTAGGGAAGAGGGGTAATACAATTACGAGCGGTTTCAATTGTACAGTGTCTATATCGTGGAACAGCAGGTGTACAATACAGCCATGCTTACTGTCGATTTTTGCCATATATGGTGTTTTTAATTATGATTGCTCAGAATTAGTATGGATTTTGGCATATGGTTACTTCTTTAGGTGATATTAATCTTTACAACAAACGTAATTTAGCCAAAAAGTTGAATAGCAGAAAAAAATTTCCGAGGGGAACATTTTTATACATGATTGTACACAGTATTTGATAGAAAAGAGTGTCACAGACATTTTATTTTAGTGTAATGTAATTCTTTCTTTTGAAAAATATGTCTTATTATTATCATTTGATTGTTTCGGAATAAATATGAAAAAAATCAAATCAACATTTTTACATGAAAATAGCAAATTATTTCTTTGTAAGAGCCCAGACAAAACAACCTAATTTGGAAAGAGAGAAAAAAAAGAGAGAAAACAGCTAAAAAGTGTGAAGATTGTAATGAAAATTTGTGATGGAACTTCCCCTCTCTGATTATTTTATTTTGCTCAGAGATTATATTTTCTGATTATTTAATTTTGTTTAGAGATTATTCGGCTCAGAAAGATTTTCCAGTTCAAACAAAAGTTCTCTTTAGTGCCATGCTTCGTTTACACTTGTATTGAGTATTTTAATCCCTCATTAACCAAGGCCTGCCTTGAGACATAACACATGAAAAACACATTTTTCAAAAGAAAAATATGAAATATTAAATACAGCCAATTTTCTAAATAATTAATAAACTTTTTCTTCGTTTAACAGTAATGCAATGTGAGTCAATGTTTTCATTTATATAACAGAATAACATTGTCAAAATGAAAAACTTAATATTGAAAAAAAAAATCACTTTTCCTTATAAAATATTAAAATAGCGTTTGACAGATAATGGTGATAAAATCTGATGATTAGTTTTTAGTTTGAATTCTTTTTTTCTTTTTTTTTATCAAAGTTACATTTTTAATTGAAATTGGTTTCAAATTTTTAATTAAAACATTTTTAATTTGTTAAGGGAAAAATAAATTTAAAAGAAAAATTAAAACAAATAAAAAAGTAAATGAAACAAAAAAGAACAATGACCGATAAGAAAGAGTGTATTATCAATAACTTAGATAACATTTCATATTACTTTTCTTGTTTTCTTCATTGCTTTTCTGTTGTTTTTTTTTTACTTGAATTTATTTATAAAATATCGTTTGCATGTATAATATCGATGAATGTTCTAATATTGCTAGTTAATGTAATACTGGAACAGCCAGTCTAGACGCATGATTGTCATTTCACCTGCAGACGGTAATTTCCTCAAACACTAACTATTTCTTACCAAATGATCATTTCCTCGTTTGATTTTTTTTCTTTACTGGTGATCTCTGATTTACTGAGACAGGAGACTGAGCCTGTTAGATTTTATTTGATTATGAAATACAACTGTTGTGTGTACATAAGAAACGATACAAATATTAGCCAGACTTTATATATCACAAATATAGATTTGAAGCCATGGTGACTGTCTTCTACCAATGCACCCTTACCAGAACCTGTACAGTCACCTAGCTAAAAACCTTGTCATTATCAAACTAATTTCTGTATAAAAATTGTAAGAAGATTTTCAAAACTGGCAGCTTTATTAATTACAATAACGGTTTATATTTTAACAGAATATAAACAAGTTACATAAATCTTTTTAAAATGTTTTATTTGTTGATTTTTTATACTTTATTTTCTTTTGTTTACAAGCACATAATTTCAATGCTCTAAGCCCCTTTTTAAAATTATCCTTTTGTTCCATTTTTACTTAATCAGAATTTATTTATATAAATTTTTATTGTCCATGTAATTAATTTTATAATTTGAAAAAAAAAAAATGAATAAAAATTGATTTATTTTAATATTAAGAAGTACGACACGTCTTGTAACAGGAAATAGATAATGTAGACAGATATAGAAGATTTAAGTTACATATTTTCCTCTGTTCAGAGGCCACTTTTGTCTTTTCTTTACAAATATATGTAAGCAATATTGATTTAAAAAATTTATTTTATGGCATGAATAATATAAGTTTAGAATTTGAAATACATCATTAAGATTTGTACCTTTTTCTTCCTGATGATACTCCATTGATCACTGTATCCAATTTGGTTCAAGAAATTTAAATAATGTAGTCTACTGTTATTATGAATATTTTAACATTTAGACCGCAGAACGGAGAAATGAATGTTTTTAGTTGTCGCTACAGACATATATGCTTTATATACATTATTGTATCATAATCTGCTTTAACTAACATTTTCCCTAATGATGTAATTATAGCACACAATGGTGACAAGAGGATTGGAGCCCCTGCTCATTACCAGCGGACCCATATTTCACCACTTCAACTCTTCTGCTTGTGACAGGCTCAGTGGATCTCGCGTGGGGGTCCCAATACTGTCACATCCAGCAAGAGAGTCATTATCCTACCCCCAGGGGGTCAATAGCATTAAATATCACTCTACATTCCATACAGTCAATGGCTGCAGAAATTGCCTTTTTCGGTATGTTTAGTGAATATTTATTGTTGTTTTTCTTGCCTGTACCATATGAAACCAAAGAATTTCAGCTATTTTAGTTTTTGAATGCCTTTTGACCTGTGAAATCCAGAGGTGCATGCTGGGTAATTGCACATCTGATTTGATTGGTTTATTTAGAATGCATTTGATTATTACCGAAGAAGTGAATTGATCTTTAAAATAAAACTGGTTTTTGAGGAATATATATTTAAATTTTTCTGTAATTTGTGAATGAATTAAGTGTGTCAAGTCAGCAAAGAATTATGGGTATAATCATGTTAAGTACTAGGCTGACACAGACTGGGTGAAAAGTTCTCGGCCCCCCTGACAGCCCAAACATTGATTGTAACACCCTAAATGGTCAGTTTTAGTGAGAAACGGACAGCTTTATATGAAAATTGTCCATATTTTACTCCCTGTAGCCCAAATCACCTATTTAACCATAGTGTCCCATTATATCTGATGGCAGCTATAGTTCAGAGGAGGAAAAAAATGGCCAATACAGAAGAAAATTACTGCCCATTTCACGCCATTGATTAAGATTGAAAAAATGTTTGAGTTAATTTAAAGATTTTTGTTGGAGTGTTTCTTAGCATGTAGTTATTTGGCTGTCATTGTTTTTATGAAAATAAGAGGGTGCCAAGTCTTGATGGATAGGTTTCGTCTCAAATGAAATGCAATTATTTTTCTGTTTATTATTTTTTTGTAGGAATGTGATTGGGGTAAAAACAACTTGTTATACTTGCAATAATAACAGTGCCTTTTTGTTTTTGTAAAATTAAGTTAATTTTTTTTTATAACAATGTGCAATCATATAATTTGACATTATGAAATACAGGGGTTAGAAATTCTTAAAATTACTCAAGAGGAGGT